GTTCACCATTGAAAGCTTTTTTCAATCTACGATAAGGGTGGTTCGGTTTTAGAAATCGACGACTACCAAGGTAGACCGTTTTTCTTCCGTGTTCGAGCTGATGGTAGCACGTGCCTTCTCCACATATAGGGCAAGCTTTATGCCCCTTCACACTGTAGCCGGACAAGTACTCGTATGCTGGAAAATCATTAATTGTGCAAAAGAGCATCGCTCGCATATTAAACGATTCTTTTTTATACGCATCAAACACATCGACACCTTCATCCCATAACATCTTGAAGTCTTCAATTAACGGCTACAAGTAAACATCTATATCGTTTCCCGGTTGTTTTGGGCCTCCAATCATCATAGACATCATGATGTACTTGCGTTTCATGCACAATAAGGGAGACAGATTGTAGATAACTAGTAGAACCGGCCATGAACTATGCTTGCTGCTAAGGTTGCCATATGGATTCATCCCATCAGTACAAAGGCCAAGTCTGAGGTTTCTTGGCTCATTCCCAAAATGAGGAAATAGTTGATCGATCTTCTTCCATGAGCAGAATCAGCTGGGTGTCTAAGCATTCCCTCAACTTTCCGTTCATCTGCATGCCATCTCAATTTTTTAGCCTCTATCTCATTAGCAAACAAACGTTTTAATCTCGGTACTATTGGAAGATACCACGTCACTTTCGCTGGTGGTCTCTTGTTACGAACACGAAAACTCAAATTAGCATCACTTTCCTCTTTGAAATGGGAAACCCCACATACTGGATACTCCTCAAGACTTTTGTATTCATTTCTGTACAAAATACAATCGTTAGGACATGCATGAATCTTTTTATACCCCAAGCCTAAAGGGCACGATACTTTTTTGGCCTCATAATTAGAATCAGGCAATTCATTATCCTCGGGAAGCATATTTTGAAGCAAGCGTAGCAGCTCTGTAAAAATTTTATCGCTCCATCCATACCTCACCTTCAAGTTGATTAGTTTTAATATTGCGGTCAAACGTGAGAAGTTTTTACAACCATTGTAGAGTGGCTTATTTGCTTCAGTAGACAAAGACTCGCAAACTCTGTTCATATGTGCTTGTTCAAACGCCTCTGCTCCCACATCATTAATCATGTCCTCCACCCGATTATACATATCTGCATCACCAGCATCAATTTGTTCGTCTTGGGATTCACTTGGCATGTCAAATTAACCGTGCCAAATCCACCTCGTATAACTACGATTGAAACCATCGCAAAGGACATGCTCCCTGATTTCTTCAATAGATAATTGTCGATCGTTTAGGCAGTTCACACAAGGACAGAAAAATTTTCCATTATTATTGAAAACATGTTGTTTAGCATACTCCAAAAAGTATTCCACTCCAATCTCATATTCGCTACTTGTACGCACAGCATTGACCCAAGTACAATCCATAACTCACTGTAATAATAATGTTAAATTTAAAATATATAAATGAAAATATTGCAATTAAAGAGAAAAATAGAAAGCATATACATACACATGCCATATGACTCGCCACTTTATATACAAGAATTTGTATTAGTTAGATAAAAGCATACTCAAAATTAAGTATTATAGGGAGAATAGTCAAAACAAATAATTCCTTTTGTCTTTTTTAAATGACTTTTTTCTTCTATAAAAATCAGAACATTAGCAATAATTCCTTTTTCTTTTTTTTAATATATATTTTATCTTTTTAGATTTCTTGGTGTTGGTGTCGAGGCTGGTTTAGCTATATAGCAAGGTGTTTGGATTTGTTTAAAACTAACTAACAGTATAGCTATATAGCAAGGACTATTGTAATGTTCACAATAATGCAAATGCAAATTTTATTTATCAAGCATTAATATGTATCAACCGTGGCTTCTGAAAAATAAATAAATTTAAAATGAAGAAAGTGCAATAATTTTGCAAGATAATAAAAATTCAGTAAAGCAAGCAGCAGGAGAAGTGAAAACCCACAAATGCCAACTACCCTTCTTGTATCACTTGAATGCCCAGATAGCTTAGTACAATCAAAATGGGGTCGCATTTTCATTTATATACATTCACAATTCACAAGTGCTCAGCTAAAATTCACACAAGAATATTGAAATTTATTAATACCAGATTGGGCAGAGTTAGCTAGTTGATCCAAGATGACACACACAATCAAAGTAGTTTAAAATGCAGGTACCACAAGACACATGGCATTCTTTAATGAATTAGAGCACTAAAAAATCTATTTTTTTCAATGAATAAAAAATACGATTTTAGAGAGCTAAATTATATAGAAAACAGTTATTAAAAAAGAAAGAAAAAGAATGAAGAAGCTAAAAGGTTAAAGATTAAAAGGAAAAGGAAAGCAATAAGCAGAACCAAGTACTTCCTAACTTTATTCATCATAGTCCAAGCTAATCTTTCATACTTTATGATCAATGCTCTTAAGTAGCTTTTTCAACAGCTAAAAAGTCAATAATCAACTTTCTGCTCATTCTTGTTTAATGTATAATCTTCTATTTAATTGTATAAGGCCAAATCATCACATTTTTTTAATATAAAAATACATACTTATACTATCAAATGTGTTTTTTGTACTAGTGTGGTTTTGGTTCTTTTGGTGTGAAAAAGCACTTCACAAAATTTATCACTTGAAATGGTTATAAGCTTGCCACATTTGTATTATTATTATTATTGCATTATCTACATCACCAGAACAATGGGGGAACTGGACATGGATGATGAACTCATGAAATAACAAAACCTACTACACATCACCAGAACTCATGAAACAATAAAACATTCACATAATATAATAACTTGTAACTAACAACATGTGTCTATACAGTAACTTCAAACTATTATCAAATTGTAGTAATTTGGTGAAATAACTAGGCACAGAACAAAAACAATTTTGAAACAAATAATGTGTGCAGAGAATTGAGACAGTAGGGAAACTCACAAGAATGTCTGGTACGTCGACGGTGTCGGTGGCGGAGGCAAAACGTGTTCAATGGAAGATGGGACTAGAAATTCACGACAGACAGAAACAAGGGCTGTAACTTCACGGCGGACGGAATCGGGGGCTTGAACTTCACGACCGTCGGAAGCGAGGGCTGGTACCGAATGTGTTAACAGCATGCGGAGGCAGGGCTACAAAGACGGGCGGCCAAAAAGTGGAAGCCAATTTGTGTTTATGCGCAGATAGAGAAGAAGCGGAAAAGTGAACAGTCCACTGGAGAACCAATTTGTTTAACCCTAATTACTGATGAATTAATTTATGTAAGTATGGTTGAAAATCTGATTTGTACGTATTTGATGTATTATTTATTCACTATCTGTATGTGGTGAAATTTTGACTGCTGTAGAAAGTACAATTTTTATATAGGGTCGTTTTACTGCATATGAATAGTTTATATTTTATATGTGGTGGACAATAATTCTATGTTAATTGTGATAGACCTTGGGTTTGTATATGGGGTTACTAGAACCACATATACATAATAATAATTTTATTACAAAAATGCCATCATCCTACTTTATACATCGGGTATGTTGCACCTGATACAAAAATTGTAGCTTGCTTGTCCTGCACGTCACCAGGGCGTTTGCGAGTTCTTGGTTTTTTAGTCGCTTGGAGATTATCACGATTCAAAATCAGGAATTCTGGATCATGGTCAGATTGTCTCGTGCCATCTCCCGGGTCAAAGGTCGTCGTTCCAGCCATGGTCTTGGTAGGGGTATCGAGCATGTTAGGGTTCCGACAGTTCTTCGTTCAATTATATCTATTCTTTTATCATTCTTTTTGTCGGAGCCGGACTTTAATCACTATATAATATTGTTTCATTATTTGTACATCTTATTTACCTAACAAATGTAAACTTGGTAAACTTGAAAACAAATGACTTTATTTTAATTGTTGATCAAGAAATACAAGTAGAAGAGAAGAGGAGACGAAAAAAGAAAGAAGAGACGTCTTAGTGTTGAAATGGAGCATCAACAGCTTCATCATCATGTCCTTAGTTGGCCACCGCTGCCTTCGCCACACTCGGTGGATCAATCTCCAGCGGGCCACCGACCTCCGATGAACCGGCACATTTCTTCCAACACGTACAACGCCCACCTTTGCATACACCGCCACTGTATTTTTCCTTCTTGCAAATTGTTTTGCAGTTGCCAGCATGCCGCTTCAGGTAACAACTACCACGATATTTCCTACTCCTTATGTAGCATGTTCGCGCTTCACATCCCACCATCAATTCATCTGCATTCATTTATAACAATAACCAATAGATTTATTTGGAGGCAAAAAGATTCAATTTTGGTCCGTTTACTCGTCTAAAATCTTTTTTTTGGTACACTAACTTTCACTTTATCAATAATAGTACGCTATGTTGCAATTTGTATCACTATTGGAACATTATCGCGAACATGATTCATTACTTTTTGGGATTAATGTCCTAAAAATTATACAAATTGCAACATAATGTACGATTATTGATGAAGGGAAAGTTAGTGTACTAAAAAATGACTTTAGACAAGTAAAACGTACCAAAATGGAAATTTTTCAAAGTCTAGTATTTCTAGCAAGTTATTGCTTATGGCCAACGAAATTCTTACCAGCAAGAAGTAGCAGGAGCAGCAAGACTATCATAGAGGCTTTCTTCTCCATATCCTTCTTTCTTTTCTTTCTTTATTTATTTTTTTTTCCCTAGGGCAATGATGATTTTATTTGAGTGTGATGATTTTTGGACAATTGATGATGTTATGAATTTATAGATATCCTACAATGTCTTGGAAGTTTGCTGATTTTAATTAGAGGTGAAATACATTTGGTGTTACACTGGAAATTGAGGATATAGTGCTTGTCCTCTTTACTTTGGTGTCTTATGTAATTTACTCCCCTTTAAATTTGATTACCATCTTTAATTTTGTCTTCGTGCTGAACTTATCGTCCTGAGAATGCAATCAGGGGCGGAGCCAGCCATGGTTGGACGTAGTTTAAGGGGCACAATTTAATTTATTTAATTTAATAAAGTAAAAAAATTAAATATTATCCGCTTTTTGCACTTAAATTTGCAAGCCCTATTTCATTTTTCTTCTTAGTTCCAACTTATCTTTTGTTTTCTCTTGCACTTCCTACTCACCCATATTCGTTTCACTTAAATCCTTAACAATTCAAAAAATGCATAGTTCATTCAATCAACATCACATCCAAGGGTGGATCTAGGAAAACCGTCTGGGAGAGGCTAAAGCAGTTATTGAAACCAGATTGTGTTTGTTCAACCCATTTGATATCATATCGTTGTATATTTAAATGAGTCAACCTAGAGCGACTATTCAAACTTTTTTATACACAAATCAAGTAGAGTCACGCTTACACAAGCAGAGTTTGAGCTTATTTTTTTGTTTATTTATTGAATGGCGAGTTGATCCGGCTCATTTATTAAACAATCATTAACTTAAACATAAGTTATTCAACTTGACTCGGCACGGATAATATTTCGAGGAGACTATATAATTTTTAATATATATATATATATATAGGTAAGGGATCATGTGAGAATAAGGGTTGGTGAAAGAAATAAGAATGAATATACACCGTCGGATTTGTCCAAACAATGGTTGTGATTAAATACTGGATGCACTTATCACATGTGGGCCATGGTGGCACAACTGTAAATATAGCTCAACTACATGGTTATATGTATGGACAAGAGGACAAATACGTCATTTACACAACAAAGGGGGGTAAATACTGTTTTCGGACCCATTAATTGCAGATTTAGCTCGCATTTTCTATCTCTCCGTGAGCCCTCGTCGGACAATGAAATCGATGGCGATTTTCACTCCGAAGCGATGTTTTTAGCTAATTTTCGCTCTGATTTTCATACTCGAGCAGCATTCTGGTGGGATACTTCCAGATCTAGTGAGTTTGATTCATTTTATTGTCTCTGGTTTCACTGCGGTTTTTTTTTATTTTTATTTTTTTCACTAGATCTTAAGGTTTTGTTAACAGTGGATGAGCTCGAAGAACACATGCTTGCATTCGAATATGAAGGTTAGATCGAGCATTATTTTGCAATATTTATTTATTTTTTGTAGATTTGTTGGTTGTTTATTCAATGTTAGGGCGTTCGGGGATTGTGTCATTGTTCTTTCTTTATTTTTTTATTTTTATTGTTTTGTGAAATTGTTGTGCACTACGTTGGGCTTACAGATTATTTTGTAGCATTTGCAGTATCCTTTTCCTTCTTTGTTGAAGCATATAGAATATCAAGCATGTATAACCCAATTGCATTTAGAAGTGAAAAAAAGGAGTTTCTATAAGAACTTTCTTGAACTAATTACTGAGCCAAATGAATAACAAAAAAAGGTATAAATTTGAAAAAATAAGAGTTATTTATTTTATTTGTTTCTTTCCAAATGGTGCACAAGAAACAGAGAAAAAGATGAACAGAGAAAACTAATCAGTTAGTCAGCCTACAAAAAAGTATATGATTTATGTTTGTGTTGACTGAATCATTAAATCTTTAAATGCCCGATTCTTGTTGTCGGTTTTTTTCGAGTTGGTTGAGGTAGATAATGAATATGTATCCAGAAACTACACATATTATATATTTCTTGGTTGTATAACCTGTACTCTCATGTCAGATATCAGTTGTACGTTTCTTTGACACTAATATGTTAATACTTGTTCGATTATATTTATTTTGATCAGAGCTTGAATGTCACAATTTTTTTTTGACATATTGTTTATCATTTACTGTGTAACTAATTATATTAACACGTGTACCGTGCAGGCATTAACAATACGTCAAATGATCCAGCAGTTGGAAAATCCAGCGATAAAGGTCAAGGTGTTAATTTTCTAAGAATGATGTGATATATTGTATATGTTATCTATATGTGGCTTATGTTAATATGATGATGTAGGTACACATTCAATCGTTGAAGGTAGATCGACTGGACCTCCAGCAGTTTCGATAGGTATATTGTTGTAGTATTGTACATGAAATGGCACAGTTAGTTTTGTCGTGTTCGTAACTTTTGTATAATAATTTCAGTGGCGCGTCGTCGTACGAGTTTAAATTTATCCCAACAAGAAACTGTACCACAAGATGCCGACCATGCCCGGGGAGGTACACACATGTTTATTATTTATTTTGATATAATATGTTCAATAATTATTCAGTTCGTTTAACTACGTGTTCTTTAAGTTGCAGCCATCAAGCAGAAAATCGATGCGTTGATAAAGTGTGCGGATTATTGGACGGTGGATGAATGGCGCGATGCGGTTATAAAATATTATGTAGAACATATTTCCAGTTCAAGGTGTGTGGATTATTGGACGGAGCTATCGACGTTATTTGTGGAGTGCATCGATAAAGTAAGGCATTACAGTTTGTAAAGTGCAACGTCGTGTTGTACATTGTGCAATGTGACTATATATAAAGTGCATTAGTGTAGCATATACAGAAGAAATGCTTAGGTTGCCAGACGTGTGATTGTTGCTATGTCGATTTGTTGCAATTACATTTAACTCTAGTGTATTTTCATCAGCAAATACGTACTTATATTAGGTCGTTATAGCAAATGATATTGCAATTGCATAAATACATTGGTCCATACACTATACTGTTCTTTAAAATCCGTATGGTATCAACACTTGATCGAATCGACAATCAGCACATTTCACGCATCCACTACATTTTTCATATCGTATCGCGTCCATTTTCTAGACTAATAGTCAAGATGTGCAATCATATCTAAAGAACAAGGAAACACGATGTTCATAGAAGTGCAGCGTAATGTTTATAAAAGTGCAACGTATTATCCAAAGAAGTGCAATATACCTGTTGTGTCCGTGGTCGATGTGCACACCCAAATGCCATATAAACGTCCCACTGGCGCTCATAATAATTATTGCGTCCTTTTTTCAGACTAATAATCACGACGTGCAATCATATCTGACGAACAAGTGCAACGCGGTGTTCATAGAAGTGAAACATAATGTTTATAAAAGTTCAACGTATTATCCAAAAAGGTGCAATATACCTATTGTGTTCATAGTCGATGTGCACACCCAAATACCATATAAACGACCCGCTGGCGCTCATATTAATTACCGCGTCCTTTTTCAGACTAATAATCACGACGTGCAATCATATCTGACGAACAAGTGCAACGCGATGTTCATAGAAGTGCAACGTAATGTTTATAAAAGTGCAACGTATTATCCAAAAAAGTGCAAGTCGATGTGCACACCTAAGTACCATCTAAACGACCCATTCATATTAATTATCAGTCAATATCATTGAAAAAAAAAGACAAGAGAGTAGCATTAAAATGACTGACGTAAAATTCACGACAATGATCGAGTGCTACATAGAGCAATATTCGTTAAACAACCAACCATATGTCTCTACATTTTTTAGATAAAAAAATAAAAAATAAAATAAATTTCAAATAATAAATAACATTAAACTAGATGTCCAATTGTAGCATTTGATCCGAGATGAATCTCATCAACCGCTTGTTGCACCAATGTGCTATGTCTCACGTCAAATCCAACAGTAAGAGCATAAGTCTTGTAGAAATTCACCGCTTCATGTAATTCCCAAAATCTTTGTCCTTGATACGGTTCAATCGATTCGTCACAATGTGATATCCAATGTTTTGTCCCACCCGGTGTGATTAAAAGTTGTTGCTGTGTGACCGGTGGTTGCATGCCTTAAGGGTCATTGCGAGGAAAAAAACAAATTATTAATAATTACTTAAACACACCGATTGCACTGTTGTGAACATATGATTGCACACAATAGACTCGAATGTTGCACTTTATCACAGAGAAATAAAACTAGACTCAATACCTGGTTGAGATTCATTCAACTCAATTGTTTATGCGGTCCAAACATAAATCTTATGAAATCCTTAAAAGAACATGAAAAACCAGAGTATATCAGATCAGTTTTCCACAAATTCTACATGAATATTACATATATTGATAGGTTGATAATTGAACCTACAACACTCAATTCATACAATAATTGACCATTAATTTCATATAAATTGCTCAACATAAATTTGAAATAGAAATAATTTACAGACCACAATTACCCAAACATATGGACATTAATTCAATGGATTTTTTTGATTAGATTCTTGCACAGGTAGATTCAATTTCACCAGAATGTCATACAATAAACAACCAATTGTTCGATTTATGGTGATCGATATACCTGAGGTCGTTGAGTATGTCGTATGGCGCTCAACCGAAATTTTTAGATTTTGCGAAAAGGAAATTGGTCGAAAATCTCTTGTTATATGAAAAAATCGAACTCGAATCAGTGGACGAACGTTCGCGAATTTTCAAATGAGTGGATTTTTCGCCATTAATTTCATATTAATTGCTCCATAAAATTATCAGCTACGGGAATTTGATT